ATTTCCATTTGACTGAAAACACAGTACCCATAATTATGAATCACATAATGAATAAGTGATATGGATTAATTGCAATCGCAATTGTATTTTTGTATCGAAAATTATGAAACCAACTTTCTTTTAAGAAATACCTTGAACAAAAGAAAATCATATTATTTAATAGCTTAGAATATGAAAATTCACATTTACACAATTAAGGCGTATCAAAATGAAAGAAAAAAAATAAGAGCATAATAATAGATTTTGTCCAAAACTACGTTTCAACTACTTATTTATAAATAAATGAATAAATAAATAAGTAAAAGTAATTACATTGTTTTTTATTTAAATTACAAAGATTTCATAATATTCAAAAATCTTGTATTTCAACTTTATTCGATATATCTAAAAAAACAGGAAAAATAAAATTTAATATTCCTCTTATATTATATTCGACTTCATATTATTCTTAAATGTACTCTTAATAAAAATGAATGAATCAATTATAACGTATCGTTTCAATACGTTTCAACTACAATTCATACACCTTAGAATGTCAAATAAACAGATCAGACCTCAAATAAAGATATTCTTAGAAAATAAATTTTTTGATCTCAACTTCAGATATTCTTAAATGAGTAAATTTATGAGATTCTAAGAACAAATTTTAGAGCAATACAAGTATGTTTATAAGTATATTTTATTTTTATGGCGATGACAACCCACAAGAATACAATCCTGAGGAAACAATATTTTAACCGAGTAATTGCATACGACACTATTTATAATATGTGACGATGATAATTAGTCATAACACACGATGAATTATTCAGGACAAAAAAGAACAAAAATGTATCATGATACTTAAAAAGTTCATTAAATTCTGTAAATCTAAAAAGTAAAAAAATCAGAGCTGTTTGTTATTTTGACTGAATTAGTGTAATATTAAAATTAAATAGATACGTACAGTACACATTGAAGTTAATTGTTTAGAATCGAGTTTTTTATTTATTACTGTGTTTAGTTAACACTTAGATTTTGTAGCCTAGAGCTCACAGCATTGCTTATTTGTTCCTTATCTGCGTCACTTATTTTCGCACTTGGCGTTACATTTTGACCTAATCTGGTACATGCCTTTTTATGCATAAACCAATGAAGTCTTTGGCATTCCCTGTCACAATATTGCACCGCTTTACATTTGCTGCACTTTTTGTTTGCTTTGTCTTCTCCGCAAGTAATGCAGACTTGAGCATTGTCTAAGAAAGCTCTTTGACCATCAATCGCAGCTGATACTACTGACGCAGCAGATGGTGGATCGCTAGCTGCAAGTGTTGCTACCATTTGGCGAAAAATAGTACTTTCTCTATATGGAAATTCTCTCACACTTTCTCTCAAAAAAGCTTCTTGGTACTCTGGTACACCGTCGCTTTTGCTACATTTTAGAAATTTTCTTATTAGACCCTCGATAGTATCTGATTTTTTTTCTTCCCCTTCCTCGTTTGTTTTATCAGTTTTCTCTGCTTTCATTGCTTCCTGTCTCTTTTGAAATTTGATTACCTCGGCTACAATGCAACTTAAATAATGATATTTAAATGCCATCACTTCGTTTGTTTCTGCACCTCTCGTCATTTCTTTATGGTGCATAGATTCTAAAACCTTTTGTACCTAGAATTAGAAGAAAAATAAGTTATAACACTGCTTTAATTATAGTTCAATTATATGTTTTACCTTAGCTGCATTTTCTAAGAGACCAGGATATCTTTGTAAATTCATAGCCACACGCACAGGATGCACATTGATTTGCATTATAAATTTATGGAAAGAATCTGCTAGATGCGGTGGAAGCATTGATTCTGTTTGCAAACCTTGTGGTTTGACATAATAATCTATGTCAGCTTTTGGAATAAAATTGTTGATAGTTGCTACACAATTATGATTTCCCACGAATGCTGCCATCTGTGCTGGAGTCCGTCCTACGCTATTTGTTGCTGTCAAACGTGCTCCATAAGACATTAAAAGATGACAGAGTTCTGCATTTCCACTCAGGGCTGCAAAATGCAAAGCTGTATATGCATGCTCGTGTTGGCATGCATTCACATCTGCTCCCTGTAATAAGATACTTTAATTATTAAAATTACATAATTCATTAGACATTTTCTCTATAATGTTTTATACTAATAATATTTAGCATTTATTTCAAAACAAATAGATTTAAATTTGAAATTACTTGATTCCATTTCATATGATAAACTATCGTTAGAGCAATTAACTAAAACCTTCGTGCATTAGGATTCTTATGACTTTTCTTTTTTCCAAAAATCTTCAAAAATACTTTTTAACAAAAACTGTCTTATCTTCAAATTTGATCTGCACACAGAAATTAACACATACAATTATTTCTTTATTTGTTAGATAACGTATTTTAAATCAACGAATTTCCCATATAGGTAAAAATGGAAAGTCATATATATATATATAAAAAACATACTTTTGGAAAAATAATTTTGAATATTAAAATTACAAACAGTTCTTTAATTACATATGTATATTCAACTGTTCTGTGCATAGTTAAAAAGCTAACCTACCTGATCTAGAAGCATCTGCACTATTTCCTTATTTCCTTTGTAACAGGCATGTTGAAGTGGACTCATGCCATTTTCATCCACAAAATCCATTTTAATTTTGTTTGCCGCCAGCAATGTCTTGAGCTCAGATACTTCATTGTTGCTAATTTTTGTAAAAATTTGCTTTTGTACGGCGATTAATCCCTCTGGGGAAGGCGCCATTTTTCCTACTATCGATCAGTATAACAAAAGTTCAAGCATAGACAACATACAATATAGAGTGCTCTATCGCTTTACGAGATTTTACACTACGTGACGACTGAAATACTAATCATCCACAGAAACAAAACAATGCAAAAAAAAAGTCAGCGCAACTATATGTGATTATAATAGATTTTTTTCATCTTCCACGTTTTGTGAGTAATTTAACTTGGTTTCCGTATCATTTTCATGTCGCATGCGACCTTACCGATTTAGTTTGGAAAAAGCGCCATTTCCAATAGATTCCGCAACACAGACGATTCTCGCAAATTTTATCATCACAGAAATATTAATGTAAATTCATTATTTTAAAAATGTGTACTGAAAAAACAATAAATGAGATAACAATACATCTTAAGTAATATTTTTTATTTCTTTTTATTCCTTAGAAGTTATCGAAAGTTTCGAAGATTTAAATAAAAAGTACAGTCATTAATAATACCATTTTCTTCCTAACAAACTCTGGAATGAAAAGGAACTAGTTGAACTTACATTTTACACAATTTACAAACAACGAGGAAGATAAAATACAAATTCGAGAGATAATGTCTGATGGATGATAAATGATTTTTTTCGAGATCGGTATTTCAGAACGTGACAATCAATAACTATAACTTACTTAACTTATCTTAATAAAAAACTGTAAGATTTTAATAACAAGAATTTCGAATTAGTATGAAATACAATGTTTGTCTGTGACAAAAATTTTTTATCTGTATTTGTTTACATCTTAATAAATTTTCTAAATAATAAAACTGTAGTCGTGAACTCAACCAATTAACTCATATTATTTGTTGTATGATTCATAATTATATTATATGCAGTAATTAGGTATATACATTAAATAATACAATTATTCAAGTCGTTCATATCCATACAATTATCCAAAAATATATTAATTTTATATACAATTGTGTTTGAACAAATTCTCCTTCCGTTTACAAAACATTCAATCATTGGAGCGAAAGAAGTCAACCACGATTCGCCCAAAATGGTAATGGGCCGACATCGGCCAGAAAAAAAATACTACTACACATACATCTACCACATATAAATAAAAGCAAGCATACACGTGACAAGGTAGTGACAAGAATGACTTCCCATACTCTAGATAGGTTCCCATCCAGAAGATAAGAAGTCATTAGTAGTTGCCCTCTTGAGTGACGATTTGTGTCGGGCCTCTTCGGTTTCTAACCTCTTCTCTCTTCGGATGCGCTGAAATTTAAATCTAACTCGGGTCTTACTAATAGCAAAATCAAAATATAACTTCTATAGAAGCAAAACGAATCTATCTACAACTATGATTACGATAACAAATTCGAAAAATCGAAGCCAGAAACAAGTGACGTCCTCTACTGCTGTGATTCAATTCAATTTCCTAAAACTAACTAGACACACGCCTTTCTCAAACCAGAGATTATACCAATCTATCCAACTATCTATTTATAATAGGCACATTAGAAATATGCTACCTAGCTGTATTTAAAAAACAGCAAAAGACAAGCACACATTGCATAAAACATAATATTTCAATTTGAATAGTTTTTGCTGTGAAATTATAAATTACAGTCAATATGCCTGTATCTTCCTTCCCAACATGTGGATATATGAATGAAATCCTGGCAATGAACATGAAAGGATTAAAACCTGAAAATCCTGAAGCTAAAAAGATGATTAATATATTTATTTCGTATCTGTTGCATATATAGCGAACCAATAGCACTGCATCTTCTCACTTTATTTCATTTTAAATTACTTTATAATTTATTTCAATAATTTAATAAATTATTTAAAAAACTTAACAAATCATGCTACACTTAAATAGAAGAAATCAACATTGAAAAAGAAGCTAATATTCAATAATAATGAATTCTAAGTGAAATATTGATAGAAATATCCTCAAGCGATCTCTTCATCAAAGCACATGATTAAAACTACAAGACAAACGCTCAAAACTGTTGCTTTGATTCTGAAATCTACTTGTCGCGAAATGTCTTCTTGCATGTAAAAGATACATTCTCTACATTACGTTATTTGTATCACTTTTTTATATTGTAATATTACATCAATTAATTATTAATGCATCATTATCATTATTTTAAAACGCGACATGCAAGGAAACCTATCCTGTACTAACAAAACACAGACAAGAAAATGTTTGACTATGACTATGACTATGCTTGTCAAATTTTCTACATAATACAACTAATCACTCGTGCCGATTCGGATCTTTCACCCTACGACATGATTGAGTGACCAGAGGCACAATAAATGCATGCGACTCACAATAAGATGCGAAGAATATCAACATCGATGCAATTGTAGATCAGAGGAAAGCATCGTGAAGCCCATCGCCAAATAACAATCGTCGAATTCGATAGAAGGAATGAAAGCTGAAAGGGACATGTAAGCAAAATTTAATAATTTATTCTAGTATTGATTTATAAGTCTACGATGATAATGACAAAATTCCAAATAAAATTGAAAATTTAACTGTCTTTTATTTCTTTATTAATGCTTAAAATACGGGGAATGAAATTAATTGAAATGTGCGAGGATACTTACTTAAGATTCTTAGCTTCTTTGAAGCGTTATTAGATTCTTTCCAGAGAGCAAGAGAAGATATTGTGAAACACCTTTAACACAAAATATGGGAAATTACCATTTGTACTTAAGGACATATTTGGAAAATTTGAAACAATAACGATAAAGATTGAAAATCTAATGATTTCTGATCAACAAGTTAAAAAATAAAAGAAATAAAAATAATTAATGCTTACGTATATTCTTGGTTTTTGAACCCTCCTCCCCCCCTCCACTCATTGTATCCTTTCCAGAAAAGAAATAATACAAAATATAAAATTCCTTTAACAAAATACTAAATATTATAATTTTTTCTATCTAAAGAATGCGAAATAATGAAAAATGAAACTATGGTAGTACAATACAGTATTAATAATTCTTTAAATTTAGATTTGAAACAAGACCGTTATCAATAAGCATCTATGAATTTCTAAATTCTTTCTAAATCATGTCCATGATCAGTCAGTCAATCATCTATTGATAGAAAGTCAAAGATTCAAAGTAAATGTATAGATTTAATCCCAAATGTATCAAAATGAAACAATAATCAAGGCTAAATTCTGTCTCAAATCATTCTGTCACGAGACAGTCAAATGGGACAGCAACGAAAGAGAATCAAGAAAAACTAAAGATACTATTTAATTCTGATATAATGATTTAACAAATGATAATATAAATCTATGTTGATGAAACGTACCTAATAACAATGTATAACAGGTGAAGAGATATTGCGTTAGTTGACATAACATTCTTTGAACGAAATAACACGACCAAACGCGACGCTTCCAAACACAAAACTAACGCTTTATCCCGCCAGAATCTCGCTTAACTAGTTCCTGATTGGCTGAGACGGCACGTCTCTTCTTGCAAGTAAATGCGCGCGAGAAATTGAAATTTCAAACTAGCAAGCGCGCCAAATATGAAAATTTCAGATCAAATAGCCATGTGAAATTTTTAATTTGTTTTTTGTTTAACATACATACGTATATGAAAAAAATACTCTATAATAGATATAATGGCCCATTAAATGTGCCATCATTAAATAAATCAGTACAAGTAAATTGAATTAATGATTGAAATAAAATAATATACTTTAACATACTTTTATATAAAAAATAAAGTAGAATTATATTAATCAAAATAAATAGATTCATATATTTGAAATTTTTTAACATTAATTAATATTTCTAATACTTTATTCATAATAATTAAACCATTAAGTTGTTTCTACAACATCTCTAAATATTTTTAAGAACATTATTTAATATTTCTAATCATTTATTCATAAAAATTATAGATATTACTATTCTATAGCTATAAAATTTTATTAAACTAATCAAATCAAATTATTTAATAATATTTATTTCATATTAACTAAAATTTATATATCTTTCGAACGAATCTCGTTTTAAATTTCAAACACAGAACTTAAATTTTCACTTAATATTATTAATTTTCACTTATTGTTATTAAAATATTAGTGCAAAGTACACTACTTATGTAATACTGGGAAAGAATTAACGTTGAACTTGAATAAGAAAGCTGAAGCAATTAAACCAAATACAATTTAATGATAAGCTAAAGATTCAAATATGATTATCTGAACTTAAATGCAAACTCAATTATGAATTCAATTGTTACGACACAGTGAATACGTTACAATGGATGCGTATTTTAAACTCAATACATAAAAACAATCAAATATCTATACAAAATTTCAATAAGAGTATCCAACAGGACACGCATCTACTGTAACCATAGCCTTATGTAGAATAAATATCTTATTCAATCTACGGTTTCTCTATAGTGAATAGTAGAGATATACCTTTCTTCAACTAAATGACTGTTTTATTTAACAGTTTCCTTTTACAATAGGTTCTACTCAGAATCATTGTTCCAATAGGAATAAACAAGTACTGTTTTATATTTTTCTATAAAGTGTTCATAAATACATTGGACTTTTTCACCTGTTAAATTGGTATGATAAGAGTGGACAAAAATTATTCTGTTTAAAAGACAATTGTCAAGTTATGAATATTTATTTATTTATTTATTTATTCACTGTATTAACAAGGCCCGAGTTGCTACCTATGGCTGTGGTTACAACTCGGATGCGATGTACAAAATATAACATACAATTGTACAGGAAGATTCGTCTGAAATAGAACATTGGAATAAATTCTCTCGATTATCGAGAATCTGAAATCAAAGAACGTCAGAGACACTGTTTGTTCTAACGTCAAATCCTCATAATCGAAAAATTTAAAAATTTTATCTTTGACGGTTCCCCCTGTATATAATATAATATAATATATATAATATATATATATGTATATATATATATATATTATATGTATAATTATACATACATACGTACCATTGATTCTAATAACAATAACTATAAACTATATGGTACATATATGTGTATCTGCACATAGAGAATATTTCCTAACAAATATACGACGATAATTTTTTAAATACTTAACATTTACTCAATTGTTTATGATATCGTCGATTTTCACTTTTACAAAGATGGACAATCACCATTTTATAAATTAATATTTCTATACGAAGAAAACCAAGGACCTAGAAAATTTGCTTAAAGAATTATTATATATATTTCCAAGAATTTATATTGGTTTTGGATATTAGGTACTTATTATAACAACTTAAATTAGGTACTTAAATAACAACTTAAATAATAACTTGGAAATAATAACTAAGGGGAAGATCAATTTCAGAGAAATAAGTGTGTCTATAAAGTATAAAATTAAGTAATTGTACCATCCATAATTATCCATCATCTTTGTAACAGTAGTAAAGAAAAGAAAGTGAAACGAAATAATTTCATAAGAAGTGATATGACTTCAAAAAATATTTAGAAATTAACAATCATAAACAATTGATTGCTTGAAAATAACATTATACAACAAGTATTGGGAAAAAAGAAAAAGATGAGATTGTTGCAAAAATTTCTGTGAAATCATCCACAGTCGCACTCTAGTACAACCTTTCTGTTTAATGTAATTTGCATATAATAACATATAACTTTCGAAATAAATCATCGTCACTTTAACCGAGCCGCGGCCGAAGTCCCCTTCTATTTAAATTTCAAACAAATGGCACCAATAGTTTCTTTACTTTGATTTGTTTTTCACTACAGTTGGCCTCCTTAATAAATGACAAATGCTAAACTTACATAAACAACATAAATTTCGTCCAGAAGTTTCATATAGAAAGATACATGAAAGTTGTCTACGACTGGAGGATTAGTCAGGAACAGAACACACAATCAACCAGTTTACATGCTTAATTGTCCAGACCTATACGAGTATTGAAATGCGCTAAATATATTGTATAGATAAAAGCGTGATTGCTTCTTAACAATGGGCGACACGTTTTCTCGACAACGCTTGAAATTCACTACTCTTTAATGATAAAGTTTTACACCTGATTCGGTGATTATAATTCGCGTATAGTCTACACAGCATATACGTCCGGTCAGTACCCAGACGATGTAAGAGCATTCGAATAATCAAATGAAAATAGTTAGATCTCAGATAATGTCTTTAACGCATCGTTTATGTGAAATTATGTGTCGAGCCTTTGTTAACAAATAAGAGACTCCGAGAAAAAATAGCACAAATAACATAATCTTTTATTTGAGGAAATCATAAATGATTGACCATTAATTAACTATTTATATAGATTTAACGTTTATCTCTAGCAAAGCCTGTAACTTTCCCACGTTAACGTTTCTAATCAATAAGAGATTAAGCTTAATACGTTAAAGCTGTTATCCAAGAAATTTCCTTGTTCAAGATAATTACAGCCTTATGTTCACTAAATCTAGAATAATATCCATGATCTATTTAATGAATTTACATAGGAAATTCCATGAAACCTATCATATTTACAGGCCATGTTTCACATTTGCAGTGTATACTTTCGAACAGCTTAGGATGTACTATTTTAAAATTAAGATGAACGTACTATCTTAAAAGTTAGGATGAAGTTAGATAAAAGTTACATATATGTTATAGACAACAGAAAGTAAAAAATAAAAAAAAAAAAAAACTCACATTTCGACTAGATAAGCCGCAAATCAGCCAAACATAGCATTGCAATAATAAGTAAAAAATTTTCTTATTCTCTCCTGTGAGAGAGAATTTTTTAAATATTCGTATGTTTGTCCGTAACACATATGTACTTACTTACACATCTCGATGTACCTCAAAAGAAAGAGGTTGTCGAAGAAAATTATTCTTTCGATGCATTTAATTATTTCGTTACTACGTTCAAAATCAGTTTTCGAATATTGTTCAATCTGTCTTTGTTTTATTTAATATTTGTAAATCACAAATAACGTCCCCAGGATAATCTCTAGAATTGTCCAGATACCAAAATATATTCGTTACCGACAAATTATATTATTATTACTATTGGTGAGGAAAGAGGAAGCTTAACGCGTCACAACAGACATGGGGATGCCAGTTTGGGAAATTTCCAGCGTCAGGGGAAGCTCTTTCTCTACTAAAAAAATTTCTGAAGTGTCCAACATGTCAAATCTCGAAGCCTCACTATTCAGAGAGATTTCAAAGAATCATTAGAGCAAAGAATTTCCATCGTAAAATCTAAGTGAGTGCGTTCGAGATCTTCA